TCATTTTGTAAGACCCATTTCTCCAGCAAATACTACAATGTGAGGACCCACTGCTCCAAGAAGGAGTGCTGTTTTTGGGCTAGTGGTTAGGTTTAGGACTAAGATGTTAACTGGGTTTATGTTTAGGGTTTAGGGATGTACTGGTGATGATTAGGTTCAGGGTCAGGGTTAGGATTAGGCTGCAGAGATGAATCAGAAATGAGTGGAAGTCAATGAAAAGTCCTTGCGAGGATCGAAAGCTATAATGTGTGTTGGTGCACTGATTCGTACGATTAATGGCATTGCCTTTACACATAATCGTTAACCAGGGTTACTTCCACATGGTCTAATGGTCTAAACCTTTCTGGAAATTGCATACAGTAGTTTAATAGTGTGAATTTGAACACATTTTATTGTGTTAAGACAATTTCATTATGTTTTTTTTAATGGAAGTAGTAAAAAACTAAAGTGTTATTTTACCTTCATAATACCATTGGAGAGTCATATTTGCATAAAATAGCCACAATTGATTTAGATAATGGTTGTTATGATGCTGAAACATGCAGTGAATGATGTCAGCATGTTTTAATCATTGCAATATGGTCCCATACTTCAGATTTTCTTAATATCACACAGCTCTAATTATGAGAACTTCTGGACTGCAGCAGAATGACATATTCACCCCTATCACTTCATATGCTTTGTTATTAATATTATTATTTATCTCTAGGAATGGCATATTTTCCATTTTAGTTTACTGAGAAAAACTGCTGAACTTTTATTGTGTCTTAAACTAAGTTTCATTTCACAAAACAGGGAGCTCTTTCGGACAACTTGGTTGCTTTATTTTTGTTTCACTGACTGATGACTGGCCAAATAATAATTTTGTGGATTTTAAGACATAACCATTTGTTGGGAGTCAGAAACGAGATAAAATGCTACAAAGCAACAATCAAAAGCGATTGCTGTGCTGTAGCCCAATCTCAACTACTTAAGGAGGCAGACTGAAAATAAATATTTATTTACAGTGAATAAAAAGACTGACATTTCCACTGACATTAAATCAGGCTAAACCTTTTATGGTTTGAATAAATAAGGATTACTAAAATTATTTGTATTTTCAAAATGTCAGAACAAAGAGAGACAATGTGTTATTAATTATTATTATTAGTAGTAGCAGTAGTAGTATTGTTCTTAGTATTAGTAATAGTAATAGTCTTTCTTCAAGCTCAGAAGTTCACATACATTAAAATAACTACAACTTAGAAAAGCTTAGATGACCAACAAGAAGCTGACCTAAAAAAAGGAAAGAGTTAGTCTGATTTAATTATTTTTAAATTTGGTTACAGAGTTTTGCTGATCACTGGCTTCAACATATCAATGAAATGATTAGTTGTTGCTAAAATAAAATCGTATTGTTTTTTTATTGATTGTAATCAGTTCCAGTTGCTATTTTAGCATTTGGTCAGCCGATAAACCGGCCAGGCTCCGATTTCCTTCATTTCGGGAGATCGGTGATAGGCGGATACTTAAATGTGAAACCTGTCTTATCCACTGATCTTATCTACCTGACCAAAGGCCTAAATATCAGCCTCTGTAATTTTCTGCTCTGCAGTAAGAGGTTTGACCCACAGACCGGCCCACCAGGTCATGTCTGCATGTTTGCACTTATCAATAGTCACCCCACTTTTGCCCACTCAGTGACTTTCTTGGTATATTTAGCAACATTTCCACAAAAAAAATAAAATAAAAATTTGGCCAAAATCGGAATTAGCAGGTCAAGATTTTTAAAAATTGGCCAGGAAACTGCAGTCTGTGCACCGGTATAAACAATGCTTCCATGTTATTTTATTTTATAAACTGAACAAACTACACAACAAAAGGGGAAAAGACCCTTTTTAACACTGTTGTTGTAAAATAGCCTTCTTAATATGAATCAGAACTACTGACTGACCACAGATGGAAACAATCAAAACCGTTTAATGTTTATATGTCATTATTGCACAACTTACAATATTTCAACCTCTACTTCTGCTGATTGTTACCATCAGGGCCGACAACCTAACACCTTACAAACGCAGCAGCTGTGAACACTGTGATCAACAAATATCTGCTTAAGAGTGTTGGCCTGTAATTATGCAAAAAGCCCTGTAGATGTAAAAAATATTAATTGCTACTGTTTTGTATTTAAATTTATTTCAATAATATATTTTTCCATTTCCAGGTGTGATTTTGCCCGACCACCCACTGCCTTTCAAACAAATTCCCTCTGTGCTCCTGAGCTGTTGGCAGGTGAAACGTTACAAGCACACCTGTCTCCATTGTTCTGCATATTTAAGCTGTCTCAGTGTCTCCTCTTGTATTCGCTAACTCTATGATGTTGACACTCGGGCTCTGAGGGAACCGTGCCAGCTGCTTTTTGTTCGTCTTCCTGGCAGAGTTGTGTTAAGGCAGTGACAGTAGGATCTAGCACCGCAGTCAGTTCAGATCCAAGCAACAACACTCTGTTGTCACGTTAAAACATCCTTTTGAAAAGTAACTCTAATTATGCCAACATGAGGGATCGAACCTCTGACGCGTGCAAGAGCTCAAAGTTTCTCCACATCTGTCGGCCTCTTCTCCAAATAGCTAAAACTGCGTGTTTGAGCGCTGCCGACCATTTTACATGCATGTGCTTCATGAGACCCCGCTGGCATGGCGGCGGGATAATGTGCACAATCTTGGCAGCCGGCTTTTTGTTTCTGTGTCGATGGAGGGTGGGTGTTGGGTGTTTGGGGGGGAGAGTTCGACACAGGGGAAATAAACCAGCGCTTGCCAGGAAATCGGCCTCCTTTTCAGCCCCCCACCCCCTTCTGTCTTCTCTCACCGCCCCCACCACCGGCAGCCACCCTCGGCCTCCCTGCCTTTGATGCAGCTATTGTGCGAAGATGCACCTCCAGCTGCAGGAGGCTGCATCACAATAAAACTTCAGACTGCAGCATCGCATGTGGAAGCCCTCCAGTTGTTGAAAGCAGTCGCCACGTGTTACTGGAGTTGTCCCGACCCGTTAAGAGGAAGTTTGAGTTGTTCCAAGATAAATAGAATAAAAGCAGGAGGATTGAATGAAGCCTCCTACGGCGTTTGCTTTATTCCCACAGCCTTAAACGTGTCATGCAGTCGTAAACAGAATTTTAAAAATTGCTGTGCATTGACATATTTAGTGCGTGTGCGCTTAATGAGCTGCTACGTTTTTTTTTTTTCTTTGATCTGCAGCTATTTATAAATGGAGGATCTGTGGCACCCTCACAGACAGACAGAGGTGCATTGTGGGGGAGGCGCACTGCCACACAATTGGCTCCGTGCCTTTTTGATACAAAAGAATGAAGATGTAAGAAGACATGTGGCCTCGTGTCGTATAAACCCATCGCTTCCTCTGAAGGAGGAGCTTTTCTTTTGTCGTTCACACTCGTGGCTTTGCTTGTTTATTTGTTTTAATAATCTTTTACTTTCACTGTAGGCATGGTCCTGTGTGACATTCTCACTGTAGAGCTTTGACAAGAAATACACAAGCAAATAGTACTGAAATAATACACCAGTACAAAGCTTTGGTTCAAAAATTTATATTTAGAAACATCTTCAATTTTAATGAACAAATTTTAGTTATTTACTTATTCACTTTGTCGTCTGTTATGGACTGATATGAGCTTTTAGTTACAAGTGAAAAAAATACCTCCGCTTGAAGTCATTTACATTGTGACGTTTTCTTGACTACTGATGTAAAAACAATAAACCATTATCTATAACAATGTAATTGCTCATTTTATTTTGGTTTATATATTTAAGAATAAAATAAAATGTAACTCCTCTAAACTTAGTGTTTTAGTTCTCAAGTGAATGTGCTGATTGTGCCGAATATTCTATTGTGTGAATAGCTAGAGATAATATAATCTTGGATATTGCAGCTATCGGAGATTATATTAGCTGATTAATTAGTCAGACTGTCTGCTCAGGTAGCCAAGCAGCAGCCACCTGCCTTAAGTGATATGTTTGAATGCTTTTTTTTTTTTTAAGTGAGTTTCAGTAGTGATTCCCTTCACCTGTAGAAGAAAAAAAACATCACATCACTTATGGGAACGTGAATAAATCCTCAGAGCTGTTTGTCACATGGACCTCCAGTTTTCTCTGATTTATGACATTTAAAGCAACTATAACTGGGATTACTGCTGCTGAAAGTGCAGTAATTAGAGTTGTCGTCTAATTTGAACAACATTACGCTGGTTGATCCCGATTCGAACTTGAAGACCTGAAAAAGTTTTGCTTTGCCATCAAGATCCTGCTGCGGGAACCCAATCTTTAGCAAAACATTGATTTTTTTTTGGGTCAACTTTTTCCATAATCTGTTCCAACTTGACTTTCTGGTGATAAAAATGGAGATAATAAAAAAAGTGTTTCAAAAAATCTGCAGATTTTTGAACAACATGACTTTTGAACCCTGCACTGACATGCCTAAACAGGAGGGCAATTTTAATGGATTGCTTCGATCCGTTTCACTTCATTGACCGTGTTTCCATTGAAACCTCAGATAGGATCTGAATGAGTTAATGACTGGCTGGCACACCTCTCCATTTCTGGTAAGGAAACGGTTACTGAAAACGTCACTTAGAAAACATGCCACACATAGCTTGGCAACTGTAGTAATAAAACAACATTATTGTAATAAAGGTGACAAGTGGCACTCCTTTGGTTTCCACATGACTGTCAGTTTTTTTTTTTTTTTTTTGTATGACTAAGGATGTTTCCAAATCTCACCTACTGAGCATGGTGCAGCAGTAGGTGAGGGAGGGGCAATGCTGCTTTACTTTAAACTCCAACAGCTGGAGAAAACTTAGCTCACTGCAGCACCTTCTCTGGGACTTTAGAACGACAGATTTAAACCTTTTGGGTGATATGACGTGACATTTTTTTCATCGTTCTGAAAACCTTGATATGCCTTGAAAGCAGAACGTTCTGCTGAAGCTTCGACTACTCAGGTGCCTCCCGCATCTGATACAACTTGCCCATCTGCCCGACTCTACTCTCCCTCTCTAGATTCTCCTTAGCTCGTCTGCTGCTTTGGCCCACTGGTCCGATTCAAAAAAAAAGGTGTTAAACAGTCATCAAAGCCATGCAGGCGTGGGTGGACGCCACATAAAGTGTCAGAGGAGAGAGCAGAGTGTGGAGGCTGGGAGAGAGGATAAGGGGCAGGTTGGGTCGAGATCAGCAATCTGCTGAGTCATCATGACTGGTCTCATGATGATCTCGCAGCAGCAGCAGCAACAATAGCCTCTCTTTATCTCAGGCACACACACCGAGGTCTGAGAGATGAGAAGAGGCCAGCGCACACACAAAGCTTGTCATTGAGAGCCTGTGGAGACGCTCTTCGCTGGAGCACTGAGCTCCAAGGTCTGATCTCATCTGTTGCACTTCCACGCTCGCTCTTTGTTGACCTCTGACTCACACTTCTGTCTCCATCCTTTTGTTCCTTGTTTGCACTTTGGGACAAAAGCAAATATATTATTTCATCTGATGGGATTTTACTTCTTCCTTTTTTTAAAAATCCGCCATAGGTATGTGAGGTATTCACACCCCATTGTGATTTTTTTCTTTCCCTCACAATTTTAGTGTAACCTATCAGGGTTTTATTATGTGATGGATCCACACAAAGTCATGCCTAATTTTAAAGTGGAAGGAAAACCATGCAGGATTTTCAAAAGCTTTTACAAATAAAAAATCTGAAAAGCGTGGCATGAGTTTGTGGTTGTAATTTTATCTTGGTAAACATCCACCTGGTCCAGGGGATCTGCAAGTTTCAGCTTTATAAGAATTTTTTAATGTCACCTTCAATTAAATTTAAGATCGAAAGAACTATATTTAAAAGGGAAGGTTGGGGGAACTAGCTGCATTACAATCAAGCACAGCAATAACTGTGAACCAGAGTTTATTCTCAACAGTCTTAACCCCGGTAGTGCCTAGCTTAAAACTTTTTTTGCATCTAGCCTTGTAGATGCAAAAAATGCATCTACGTAAAGCTTGGCAGCAGAAGTCACTGGGGAAAATGAGTGTCGTCCAGTGAACTGGTAATAAATTTGCACTTAGCCATGATTCCAGAAAGCTAGCTAACTAGCAAGGTTATACTATCAGCTAGTTAGCGGTAGCTTCATAGCTTCAACCACCTCGAGTCACAGAGCGTAATGAAGCTTGGGCGACTCAAACTTTTGCCTGACAAAAAAGTTCCACAAGCAAAACACTACATCAAATAGTCACACAAATATGTAGCAGAAGGTTCTCAGACTAGATGAGACCAAATCAATGCACTGAGCATAACCCTGAACACAAACCCCCCACTGTGAAACATGGCAGTGGCTGCATCCTGCTCTGGGACAGTGTCCCACTAGAACTGTGATGAGGACCATCTTCATCCAGAAAAGCTTCCTGGATGGATTGATAACCATAAGTGAAAGGAAAATGATGAAAACCTATTTGGGCTCCAAAAGACTTCAGGTTGGGTTGGACGTTCACCTTCCAGCAGGAAAACAACCCTAAATAAACAGCTATAGCTTCTCTGCTGTTTTCATGTGTTGGAGTGGCTCAGTCAAAGTCCAGGCTGATTGTCAATTGAGAAAACATGGGACAATTTGGGAATCCATGTTCACAGATGCGCTCCATCCAGTCTGACTGAGGTTGAGCTGTTTAACAAAGAAAAATGAGCAAACATCTCAGTTTTAAACCATGAGGGCTCAATACAGAGCCGCAACATTTTTTTTATCGGGTTTGTCGTTAAAGGAAAAGTAAAAAAAAATTATGCCTCTTTAATTGCTGGTTGCTCAATTATGCACCATGTTGTGTTGCTCAATCAAATAAAATCCTGGTCAAAAACATTTTGTTGTTCCACGCGGTAAAGTTTGAGCGGTTTGAACACTTCTCTGTGTTGCTCTCTTTATCTGTTGAGATGGTCTGTCTTTATATTAAAACAGGACTGTAACAGTTAGCTTCCCTCTGGAGTCCTTCCTACAAACTTCACCACTTCCTCTTGTTTCTTGCTCGTTTCATCGCTATTGGCCTCCAGCCAGCCAATGAGAGTTTGAGAGTGCAAAGGTAGTGGGCACTGTGAGTGAAACCACAAGGAAACAGGAAGTCAGGGAAATTCTAAGAAGCGTTTGTCACTTTCACTCATGCAGTCTTATACAGATGAAAAAAGTCTGTGCCATGCTCCCACAAACGGGCCAGAATGCTCGGTTCTGCTTAATATCTCCTTTTTCTCTGGTGGGTATTAATCTGTGATAAATATTGATTCCATCGAAGAGGGGGTAAAATGTGGTTTCTCTTGTTTTATGCTTCTTATGCTTTATGCTCTCCTGTGTTCTCCAAAGGTTTGCGCAGAAGAGCAGGGCTCTTGTGGCATGACGACGACTAACAAAGGAAATAAAGCCTTGAAGGTAAACGAAAGTAATGTTTTCATGTGTTTCCCACCCAGTTCTCAGCGTTGCGCTTGGTTTGATTTGGTTTTTTCACCGCCCTCGTGTTTCCTCCAGGTGAAGCGTGAGCCGGGCGAAAATGGCACCAGCCTCACGGACGAGGAGCTGGTGACCATGTCCGTGCGGGAGCTGAACCAGCACCTCCGGGGGCTCTCCAAGGAAGAGATTCTGCAGCTAAAACAGAGGAGACGCACCCTGAAGAACCGAGGCTACGCCGCCAGCTGCCGGGTCAAGCGGGTCACCCAGAAGGAGGAGCTGGAGAAGCAGAAGGCGCAGCTGCAGCAGGAGGTGGACAAACTGGCCAATGAGAACGCGTCCATGCGCATCGAGCTGGACGCCCTGAGGTCGAAGTACGAAGCCTTGCAGACCTTCGCCAGGACTGTGGCGCGGAGCCCCACCGTCGGGGTCGGGGTGAGGGCTGGGGGCGGTGGGGGCGGAGGGGTGCCATCGTCGGTCATCGGCCCGCTCATACCGGGGAAGGTGGCGACGGCGACGAGTGTCATCACGATAGTCAAGTCAAAGACGGACGCGCGGTCTTGAGGGGAAGAAGGCTGGCGAAGGGTGTGACAGGATGGAGCTTAGCCGCATCAGAGTGAACCTCCCTCTCTATTGCCCCCCTCTCCTCCACCTGCACCGACCCCCAGCAGCTGGGTGGCACCACCCGGACCACCCTGACGCGTTCCCATCGTCCGTCTCAGATCAGTGCAGATGAAGGACAGGACGGAGGCAGAGGACGGCTTATTGGCTCACAAAAAGCTTCCGGACAGAGTTTGATCATCCAGAACTGGATGAACACACAGAGTCCCTTTGGCTAAAATGTGGATTACGAATGTCAGAGAATTTATAGAACTTGATCTAGAGTCACGTATTTAAATCTGAAAGTGATCACTTTTTAAAAACACTAGAAAAACCTGGGCAAATTGCGTTTGAATCATGTCAAGTCTCTAGTGTTGATTTTAAATAAAAAGGCTGAAATCTGAAACAGAGATGCACCTACCAGGCTTTTCCTGGCAATATGATTTCTGGTTTTGAAAGATTGTGATTTTTCTTTCTTTTTTCTTTTTTTTTTTTTTGCTGCAGGTTCATTGATAGACTTTTTGGATCCAGATTAAAATCAAAGTATTAAAAAAATGACCCCTATTTATGCATCAGAGCATATGTTACTAGCCTCTATCTGATTATTAAAACCCCCTGAAAGGCAGTCAAATTTATGCAACTAATTGAAAATAGTTGGAGTTGATAGATCTGATGCATTTAAAAAGTACAGACGAAAATCTGTGTTTTTGGTATTTAACCTGCAGATTTCAAAACAGAGCCAATCAAGTAATAAACTGGCCAATTCAGATCTCTAACTGTGTTGGTTTGGTGCATCTTTGATTAAAAATAAGGCACATCAGTTGAAAACCCCAAGCTACACATCAGCTATGTCTAAGAATAATTAGATATATAAAAAAGTGACGTGCTGGTTTTAGTGACTGCACCGAAGCCCAGTCTTGTTTCACCCAAGAACTTTTGCAGAAAAGTACTAATGGAAAAATCTATAATATACGATGGTGGTAACTGTATTTCTACTGTTTTGTACCGTGTTGTCATTCACATGAGGTCCAAGGTGTATTCTCTGTGTGTGAAATGTTATATATCAGGAATTCCGTGAAATTCTGTGGCGAGTGTTTGTTCTGGTATCGCTATGTTTAGTTAGCTGTGTTCTTTTCTATGGTCTCTCACTCTTTCTCCCTCCTGTTTTCCTTTTTCAAGAGCAAGTGGCTTCCAGTGTTACATATTGTACTTCCAAGATTTGTCCGTGGGACGAGGATGCTGCAAAGCGACTCGTACTTAGCAAAAACAGAAAGAGACAAATGCACAATATCCTGTTGAAGAAAATGTGAAAATATCTTTGGTTTGTGAGAGTTTCTAGAAAATATGTTTAACGCAGAAAAAGATTGGAAGGGCAAGTGCCTTGGTCTTATAATGATGTGCACCAAGAAGAAAGTCAAGAGGAACTGAGGGAGTCGATGCAGATATAAAGTCATACCTAAAGGCATATACGCTGACCAATCAGGAATCAGGCAGTATTTACAGGTCGGGACGCATTTATTGGCACTCCTGGTAAAAATGTGTACAGAAAATTTTTGTTGAAGTAGCATAATCTCAAACTTATAAGAATTAGTGAGAGGGGATGAAACTCAACAAGATGGCCCTGTCGCTTTAATTTATTTCCCTCTGTGTGTGGGGAATTTTAACTTGAAATTCAAAGATTTCCGTTTTTTTGTGGGGTATAAATGATCCATTTCTATTCGCCATGTTAAATGTTGCCACCACATGCAATAAGTCTTTCAAGTTTAAGGTTAACTCTTCAAGAAGTGCATCAAAAGTGGCATCATTGGGTCACCAAGTACCCATGGCAACTTTCTGCATCGACATAGTTTATTGAACCCAACTGGGAGTTTAACTGGAACCACTGGAAAGATTGAAGTGAGATTCATCTTTCCAGCAGTAATTGTTTGAAGAGAAGAAAATTTGTCCTATTGGGAAAAGCCGGGCTGTACAACAGCAGGGTTGTCAATAATTGTGACCCATTAGCTGTTCAAAAAAATTATTTATTAACAGTTTTTTTGTTTTGTTTGTTAGTTTGTTTTTTCTGTACTGGATGGACGCTCTGACATTACAAGTAGGATTATTTTTTCCCAGTAAAAGATTAATCTGCCGCAATAAAAGTTTAGCTTATTTCATTAAAGTGAAATTTATGGCTAAATACATCAAGTACTAATTTCCATCGAGTCACACTAAGTTGATGTCGACACATAATAATCTGCTGACGCATCTTTACCAGGAACACCAATCATTGTGGCTGGCACTTTGGTTTGCTGTGCGCTGCTTGAGCTTTGTTGTCATCATCAGAATCACATATTGATGAGACTCATTAATGCGACTGTCAAAAAACAGGCTTACTCCTATTTAGCTTTCAGCAGGATGGTCAGATCTGAGGAGGTCGGCTGGCTTGTTGAATGAGCTTTTCATGTTCTCTTCCAGTCAAACTAGCAGGTTGTTGTTTTTCTCCCGGGCGTTTACCACAAGCGTAGTCCTCCGTGGTGTTCTGTACTCAAAGAGTCTATGTATAGTGGAGTCTGTAATTTTATAAAGACAATTATCTTTGCATTGTTTGTAACGACTTGTACAAAAAAAAAAAAAGAAGAAAAAAAATGGTATCACAAAAATCCGTTTGATATACAGTAATCTCTCTATTTTGCAATTGTACCAAAAGTGGCTTAACTACTGAATAGCTTTGTTTATTTTTCCTCTAGTGATTAGGCACGTGTGTGTAACGGTGGACTAGCGTGTGGCGTGCTGTGTAGGTATGTAACGAGGTGACTACTAGCTGTTTCATTGGTTATGATTTTGACCTGTTTTAGATTTCAGCCCAAACGTGGACGATGACGTCGTGTGTATCTGCACTCTTTCTCTGACCGTGTACCCTTTGCCCCCGCGGTCGTTCGGCTCCCACAGCGCAGACCTGCCAGGTCGTTTGTCGAACTGCACTGACAACGAGTGAATCTGAACAAGTTGGCTTGTTTAGCAGATTTCTGAGCGGGCAGTTGTGGCCGTTTCTGTTTTTGGCCAGTTGCTATGTTCAGGTCCTGTTGCTTTTGGGATGAAAATACACAAGAGGCTTTAATAATATTGTCTCTTCAAGTTAAGCTTGTGGAAAAGTGAAACTTGGTGATAGGGGCTCTCTGGCTGCATCACTCACTCCTTCAGTAAGTTATTTTTGTACTGTGTGAATAGGGCACTCTGTTTTTCTCTGTATATTTTATGTATATTTAATGTCGTTCTTGTGTTAGCTTTTGAAGATCTTCTGGAAGTGTCAGGGAAGTTAAAATGATATTTGTAAGTGTATATGGTGTTTTATAAAGTAAAGGAAAAAAAACTATATTCTGCTATTTAATGGTTTGTCTATCAGGGTGAGGTTGACCTTTTTAACCTGGTTTTAAAGATTTCTTTCAATGTAATGCAAACAACTTACTGAGTTTTAAACCATCAGGCTTCAGTGGCCAAATCCAATTTCCAATATTTTTGTGTTCCTACGTGCGAATTGTTGCTGTCATTTTGTTTTGATTTGTTTTGTCAGGACTGCACAGCATAAAGACTCAACTGGGTTTATAGGGAAAAAAAGGAAATTTAAGGGATTTATAGATTATTGTGATTCATTATTCAAATCATTTGTCCCTAACCTTTCTCTGATGATTGCTAAAACCAAAAAGTGCATCAAGTGTCTCAACCAATTCCACCCTGATGTTACAATGAAATCAAAACAACTTGAAGATTATAACTGGTTCTAAATATTAGAGATGCACTGATCAGGTTTTAGTTTCAAATTTTTGTTGAAAAATTTGAGGAGATTTTTGTGTGTGTTTTGTTTTTGCTGATTTGGAGGGATTTTTTGAACTGTAAGATAACATAACATGAACTGTAACATTGACTTCACAGAAAACAAAAGGGTCAGCATATATGTCCCCAACTCTTGTCAAAACTTGATCAGAAAACCTGTTTGGTCTTAATACGGTTACGGTCCTCCGAAAAGGTGGGGATTTTAAGTGTTGATGGATTCAACAAACAGGAAAAACTATTTTCTCCCATTTTTTTAACAACCAAATGAACGAGTGAAGGAGAAACCGACTGATTGGTGCGTTTCTATCGATGATGCGTCCTCTTATCTGAACTGCTACGACTCCCTGCAGAAAGGTTAGCGAGCGTGGCACCGCCTCTCAATTTAATTGTAAATTTAATTTAAACGGTGAGCAAAAACTTAGCAGTTTCTACAGAATTTTCATAGTTTTTTTTTTAACAATTTACTCTTTGCTGAAATGGCTCCAAATTTTATTGAATTGAACCCTAACCTATTCAGAGGAGTCGAGCTACATCCAGATTTCAACATCATTCTTGAATTTTCATTGAAAAAAAAAAATCAATAGATTATATCAGCTCAATGAGTGACAACCTGTTTTCTGTCTGTTGTATTCTGTTGTTTTTCTGTTAAACTGTGAGATTCCTGTTTTCCACTGGAGAGTTTACTGCTGTCTGTGCCTCTGTCAGCCTGCGTTTCATCCCACTCTGTCGTCAGCTTGTGAAGGATCCGGTCTGTACAAGCATGAATGTGTTAAACCGAAACTTATTATGCAAATGGTGTAGGGTAAAATTAAAACTCCTGCCTCAGAGGAGGAGTGACGCGATCATGCCTGTGTTTTTTTTTTTTTTTTGTCTAGTTGTTTGTTTTATAATTGCAGGTGCAATGTGATGTGACGAGGTTAAAAAGCATTTTGTAAGCGATAATGAAAACCGATGTGGGTTTGTCCTTGTTTAATCGACGTCTTCTCAGTTTTACCTAAATGTTAACTGTGAAATTTGGGATGATAAAATCTCTTTAATTTCTTTCCAAATGAGACGATGGCATAAAATAAGCTTTGACACGTGGCTCCCTTCACATCTATTGGCACAACTGGTAAAAATATGTGAAAGGAAAAACAACAGTAATCTAATCTCATTTGTCAAAATGAGATTAGGTCATTTGATCTGAGTACCTTAACTAAAGTAATCTCCGCTGGGAATCACTGCCTTCCTGTTACCTTGGGTTATAAACTTGATGTGATTCTTCTTATCCGTGCTTCAAAATGGGAAAGACAAGAAAACATGGCACTTAAAAAGGGAAAACATGTCTATAAATCAGAAAATGTTTAATAGAAAAGGGCCACCCGTCCAAGTCTACAGTCAGACAATAAATTTTCTGTGAAAAAGTATTTGCACCCAATTTAATTAGCCACAGTCAGGGCCGATTACTGTCGGACTTGTAAAAGCAGAAAAGTACTTAAATAAACCAATCTCTAGATCTCAAAAAGAAGCATATCTTGCCCCGAAATAAGACAGAAAACTTAACGACCAGATATGAAACAGTCTTTGACATCTCTCTGTCTGGAAAGCTTTCTAAAACCCAAAACCAAAGCACACCAGCAAGTCCCCCTCTGAACAGTTCAAAACCAACAAAGTGAATGTTTTGAAGTGGCCTAGTCAAAGTCCAGTCTTGAGTCACTGAGTCGCTGTTGGTCGTCCGAGACCGTAGACAGATACACCACGCATGACACAACCTCTTGTCAGCTTGAGAGTGTAATTTTTTACAAACTTGTTTACGTTTATTTAATGATCTGAAACATTTGATCCAAACCCAAGTGTTAGAGCCATAAATAGGATATATTTAAGTTATTTGTGTATTGGTTTGTTTTTTTATTTCATCATCTTTAGTTAAGAAGATTGATATTTGTTCAGGCCATTTTTATTGTGAAATTTAGTTTTATTTTGAAAGACATACTTCCTGTCGAGCCGTATATTGTATTAAAAAAAACATTGACGGCATAGACAAGGACGGAATACCAAGACACGGCAATACAGTTTTTGACCGTGTAGGCTGTGTATTTATTTTTTATTTTTTGTAAAGAAAAAAAAAGGAATTGTAAAACTGATTTATCGTCATTTTTGTATTTGCATTTTTTTTTTACCGATAAAGAATTTTTTGTTAAATTCACGGTTTGCACGCGTCCTTTACTTCCAGTGTCTAAGAAATGACGCAGATATTGGATCTGTCGCCATAACCAGATAAATCAATCGGAGAGTAACTGAAACTGTGGCAAACCAGGCTAGACAAGGAAGCAAGAGGGAACGGTGAAGGAGGTGGAAAAAAAACAAAAACAAAACATGAATGATCCCCAAAAATCATTAACAGTACTTCTTAAAATATGTCTTTTTACACACATTTACCATGGGTGCCAATAATTGTACTGGAGCTTCCAGATGTGGATTTCTTGTGTGGCCTCTTTGACCAACGCTGTCAAACGTTACAGAGGTTTTAATCCTGATTTCTCCTCGACAGACGCGGTCAGCTGACAGCGGCGACCTTCAGCCGTACGAGCCGAGCAGGCGGCGTGGTTTTCTTTTCGTAACGGAGTTTACGAGCCGTGAGACACGCCAGCCTTGTTTTCCGCTGCCTGTACAGAGGTCACGACCTTCTTACGATAAGGCATTTCATCACTAACCAGACAAACCGCTCATACTTGAACCCATAAATAATTTACAGAGGCTGAAAAGAGGCGGTGGAGACGCATCTGATAACGCTCCGAAACCGCCTCACTCGCTCCGTCCTCCCCTCAAAGAAGGCAGCGCGAGTCAAATCGGCGGCCCACCGAGCCCTTCCTCAAAGCATCCATTCCTTCTGGAATCATTAACTCCTTATCTCGCTGCTCGGCCAATCAGAGAGCGCTCGTTCAGATGTTTTTCCTGCCCACTGAGTCACGCCACTGGACTCTAAAAGCCCTTTCACCCACCGCAAAATCCAGATCGATGAAAGTAAATGAACCGAGGATTCCTTTGATCGCTTGTTTGGCTTTTTCATCAATAACGATGTTTGTTTAGCCTCCTGACTTACCTCATCTGCTGCTGCGTCTCCCTCCCCGCTGCCCCACATCATCGCTTGTACAATGTCCAACCAAAACTACTTCCTCTTCTTTCTTTTTTTTTAACACATTCACTTATTTGAGCCTTGACGTCAGCTTCTTTTCTTATTCATCACCCCCTCTGTGGTTAAGCGAGGTTGCTCATTGGAGCCAGGATGTTTCAATGTCTCCAAAAAGTATACGGTGGTCTGTTTAAAGCTATACAGAAGTAGTGAGTTTGTGTGAATATGGCGTAATGTATTCAGAAAAGCCCTTGTGACGAGAAGCTCTGTGTTTTGTAACATTTCTGTATGGGGTGTAATGAATTATTCTGCGGTACAACGGTACTTTCTATGGGAAAAAAACCTTCAAATGTGACGGTCTTTGTAAGTATTTATCTCCAACTAAATTATTGTACTTTTCTGTTTCTTTGCGATTTGTAGATAGATATGATGACAAGGTATTGGTAATAATGGAAGTGAACTGTTTCATCATCGGTCCGACGCGTCTTATTGATGTATATACTGTACGTTTGTTGATAAACAGCTTACTTTATTTTGTATATGACCAATAAACATGTTTTAAAACGCATGAAGGTGTTTGTGTCCTGCAGATATCCACAACATGGAGTCTATTGTGGGAGTAGCGGGAAAATGGAAAACAAATCTGGCATGGCTTTCACAACATTTCTAAAAATGCAAACCTGAAAGGTGAATCAATGCTTTGTAGAACGAAATTTTGCAGTACTTACAACTGCAAGGCTTTGAACCGAATGTCTCTACCTGCTTCATAAACTAGATCAAGTCAGATAATATAGGAAGCGTCTGTCAACAACGCTTCTCAAATCCCATCCTCAATCAGGTTTAGGTCTGGACTTTGATTAGGTCATTCTAGCATATCAATACGTTTTAATCTGAATCGTTCTATTATAGCTGTGGTTGCCTTTTTAGGACCTTTGTTCTGCTGGAGGACGACACCATGTCAAGTATTGTGTTGCTCCTAAATAAAGCTGTTGGAGAAAAGGCAGTATTATGCATTTTTCATTTTATAGCACAATCAGGTAGCTGTGTTAACTTCAGTTGTTGTAAGAGTCCTATATATTTCAAATATGACTTCAAAGAAATGTAATTTCGTAGTTTAATGCCTTGAAATTTCTCTGGGTTCTCCCTCTGTCCAAAAACACGACTGTTAGCTAAACTGCTTGCAGTAAGGATCTGCAAATGTCTCACTTTTTTATGAGACATAATATGTTAAGGTCATGTTGTTGTTGACTAAATGTATCTTGTCTTTGTGCACTAGTGGTCTGGCTAGTACTACTTAGTACTTAGCACTAAGTTGCTACTATTACTATTGCTGATGGAGTGGCGACCCAATGACTGCTGGAAACATGCATCAGCCCTCTGTTGACGCTACATGGACAAGTGGAAAACAGATGATGAAAGGATGCATCCTTTCTAGTTTACTTCATCATTAAGCACTACTTTATGTTAAGATTTTTCACATTAGATCCAGACAAAATTCATTGAAGTTTTTAACTAAATGTTTAAGAAGTCAAACAGTGCATCTTCTTTGGCAAACAAATGACAATATATGTAAATCATTTATTTTGTAAGCGGTTGGTGTGTCTTGAATCAGTGATGTTATGAGAAGAGCAACATTGCAGGCAGTTGCAGGAGGCTCTAATAGTCAAGACAATAAGTGGATAACACCTGACCAGGTTCACTGTCGGGGTTTTCACAAGGACGGACGCAATTACTCAATGTGACCCTTCAGCCTAATGCACACCTCCAACATGGCTCCTATCAAACTCTGTCAGGTGCTCATAATGCAGTGCAATGCATCTACAAGGCATCTTTTTTTGTCTTGTGACCTTCACTCACTGTCTTGGCTGAGCCTCAGACACCAGCAACTATCTGTTACACCAGCGATCCACTCATGTTGCCAGCACTTATGCCCCCTGGTGACCAACCCAGACATGCCAGCTCCTTCAAATTGATGGCACCTATTACCGGTCTGCACATGCACAAAGTTATATTCCAGAAAGACTTGTTAAGTAATACTAGACAGTTTTTTGTTTTTTCCTTTATTTTTTTCAGCCATCTTGTTTTTAACTGATATTTAAATGCAAATATTGTCCTGACATTTGATTTTTCTGCAATTGAGACAAACTAGAACATTAAAACAACCACAGCAGTCACTCTGCAATTTGCATCTTTAATTACTTTATCAGGTATACCCACAATGATTTTCCTTAAACTGCGCAAATTCTCATAAAGACAAACAGATTTAGTTTGCAAAAGATGAATTAAGTATTTTTTACCCATGTAGGACACAGAAAATTTTGCGAGTCTATTCCAATTTTCGTAGGTTGACAGCTGTTTGTCAAAGATTATCTCTACTCTCCCTCGTAGGTTAAAAACACATCTTTTATCTTAAACATATATGAAGACAGAAATTGAGATATTAAGGTATTTTTGTAAGATTTCTTATAATTCACAAAAATATCGTCCATAAAAAATCACTTGTCATATATACAAGCGACTTTTGTATATGTGCTGCAACACTGTTTGATGATGTTTGATAAAAAGCTTAATGAATAATTAAACATTGTTTATTAAACTAACACAATTAATATTGGGGTCATTTTCTTTTGAAAAATATTGGTTAGTTATAGCTGAATTAAACATCATTACACAATTATAAGATTAATTAACTGAGGTTTAATATAGCTATTCTGGTAGTTACAGTGAGTGGCCACCCTTGAGTTACATGGAAATTCTTGCTAAAACCATTAAAATATTGCAGAGTCACAATTCAGAAGAGAGACAACGTACTAATGTTGCACATACCAGAACTGCTGTTTTCTTTCAGTAATTGCACAACAGAACCTGTTTCTCCTGCTGTAATGAGTCAGACAGTCAGAAACACCATGATGACTTTATAATCTTCCCTGAGGCGTTCTGAAACGCTTTAGCAATTTTTATCCCAACTCAGTGTGGTTTGTAGATTTTAATATGTGATTAATTTAAAAGATACGATTTATAGTGTAGAGAATGTTTTTTTTTTTTCCTGGCTTTTGAATATCTGACACTGAAGACGTAACGTGACCAGAAATCCATCTTTTGCTGTTCAGAATTGGCAGTTCCATACTTTAGAATAACATGAATGCTATTTGTAGGCAATCGGCCCTAAAGCAGGGAGCAAATTAAGATCAGGTTCTCCAAGTTGGCAGGTTATCAGTTTGTTAACCCTTCTGTGTTCTGAAAAGTTTTCATGCTTTATTTATTTTGAGCCGCCCCTTGCTTTGGATGGTTGACCCCAACAGCTGCAGCTCTTGCATGAACGGTAAACCGAATGTACCCCTGCTGCTGCACCACAGATGGGTGGATGGACACTGACGAAGAGTTTCATAAATCACAAATTATGATTTAAAGCATGTCATTAATGCAAAATATTCCATTATTTGTTTGTATTCTCACTTTAGGTGGCCATAACACATAAAAATCATATTAATTATTTTGTGCACTTTATATTTAACTGCAAAATTTTGTGAATCTCAACTGTGTTTAAAAGAAGGTCTGAGAGCAATCCAGTTGCTTTTAAAACTACCTGAAAACTTTTGAGCAGCAAAGTGATAGGCAACTGAGGCATGCAGACAAAAACAAAATTACAAAGCACATTTAAGAAAACAAAATGAACTCTATGTATTTAAATGTCTCTGTAAGTTTCCCTGATTATCACCATTATTATTTGAAGGGATATTGTACAGTTTGTAGCCTTTTACATGTGTGAAAGTGTAGTTTTGTTGTGCTGCACCTTTGGACGGTGCCACCTCGTTGGTAGTCCGCTCCGGGTTTTCCCACCGTCCCAGTAAGCGGTGTCCAAACTGTCGCCGTCTGTTGCTCCGGGAGGAGAGGCGGGTAAAATGTAAACACTGGTACTTCACCATGGAGACTTTCTGGTGCTGTTACTCGATAGACTTCACCCTTTCATTCTCAGTAAACCGGAAACCTCTACCGACCCACTCCCTCCGTGTCGGTGTTTAGGGCTGAGTAGCTGGTCATGAAATAAAACAGCTTCCCAACAAGGAACGTTACGTTAGCTAACTTAGCTAGCTGCTACTAGCCGGTGTCAGCTAGCGTTAGCAAAACATTGTTGGTGTAGTTTTAGTTCTGTTAATATCCTCAGTTACCGACTACCGTGTCCTCATGCAACTCGATGGAGAACTACGCAGAGTTTGCACAGCTTTGTCTCTCTAGGCTGAAGAAAAATGAGGCAGAGGAGGAGGAACACCGCAGACCTTTATCAGCATCCTCCCTCATCCGCTTCCATGGACGGCCGATCCTTCCTCCACTGGTACGATGCTAGTTGTAACACATGTTGCTCTCTGTTCATCTCGACGGCAGTCACTGCTTTATGGCCCAGGCTTCTTGTAGCCCTTTATTAACATGAAAATGCGCAAATAATTTGCAGGGGAAGCCGCTTGTTGTTCAGTCTGATCAGATGTGAAGTTGTTGAGTATTAAAAAGAGCTTCTTTTTTTAATTGTATGCATAGCAGTGTGTGCTTTGTGTTGAAAACAGCTCTCGGGGAAACAGAGAGAAGAGATGAGGCGACACAGAGACGAAGCACAGGAAGCGAGAGCCAACAAAAGTCTCAAGGATGACCCCAGAATGGCCTATGTGCAAACCATCCTGCACAGTGTTCAGGTAATTACACTGCAAAGACAAGGCTGTTGCTGGCCAAAACCGATTTATTCTCTGAGGTCAGACCTCTAAGAAGAAAAGTTACTTATTTCTGAACACCTTTATGTTGGCATTTTGATGATATTTGTCACAACACTTATGGAAGATTGTTACTCGGCAGCATTATTTAGTTAAGATTTGTAAGGCTGCTTTCAGTTTATCTTTTCCCTCCACAGCGATTCTTTAAAGATTCTTGGGTTATATGAGTTGAGATACCATTTAGATTTTGTTTAGGATAAAAAAAAGAAGTATGTTTTAGTTTAATTGAATTAGCAATTTTAATCATAGAAACATGCTTCTGGTTCCTTAAAAGAGGCCCAGAAGAAAATTGAGTGATTACAAAATTACCCTCAATTATTAAAACACATATCTAATCTTGATTTGTTTCATACCAAACTCAAAATAATGTACATTTAAAGTGAAAGTGTTCAGTTTGGTGCATTTTTGGTGAAACTGAATAAACCTGTCAGTATTTAACTTGCTGCTCACCGGGGAAAGAAATACCTTTCTGCTATTTTAAAGAATAACGTTTTTCAGGGCAGTGGAAACGTGAGAGGACAGGACAACACTTATAGCTTCACTTTGGTTTAAAACATTAACATTAGGAACATGCGGTGATAGTTGCCTCTGCTGGACAATGATGCATAGATGTAAGTTGCTCAGGGACATTGGGAGATGCTAAAGATTTGCAACGGTAGTTTTAATAAAGGTAAAACACTCCAGCAGTCTTTTAAATCAGGTGTCCTATGGGGAAGATAAATCAAGAAAATTAGCAGGAACACCACAGAGGATTCCTTGTAGGTATCCAAGAAAGATGAATTAGCAAGTGCTTCCAGTTGGATAAATG